AATTACCCTCTGTAGTGTTTAATGCGATTCAACACCTTACACGTACATGAACACATACCCAACGGTATCACAGGATGCTGGAGGAAGCGCAGGTGATCAGTTCCTTTTCGGATGGACTTACACTGTAAAGGATAACTATACAAGTAAACAGCAGCTGATCGGATCCAATGTTATGTGTGTGTACTTATGTGCTTCTGGGAACATGCATGTGTGTGTGTGTGTGTGTGTGTGTGGTGTGGTGTGTGTGTGTGTGTGTTTGTTGTGTGTGTGGGTGTGTGTGTGTGTGTGTGTGTGTGTGTGTGTGTGTGTGTGTGTGTGGGTGTGTACTCATGTAAGCGTGCAACTGGGTTGTGGTCTTGAAGAACAACCTCATGACATTTTAATGAACCAATCAAAGCTTTTGGGTTTCTAGTTGTTGGATCGTGTTCAGCTTGTAGTAGATGCGGATTTCAAGGAACAGTGACCTAAAAATAACAAAGGGAGGAGATCCACTGCCACTGGGTTTAAGATGTCATGTTGAATTGCTCCATATTGAATGGTAGAGATGGCAGATGAGACTGTGTGTTGAGGGTGTCAAGTTAAAGCAGCAGGGCCAAAGAATGGTGATTTAATTCTGACCTATTGTCCATACAAGCTTTGTTTCAGGGTTCCATTCCATTTATGTTGGTAGCAGCAGCTTTTAGCTTTGATGGCCCGCGGATCTGGAATAAACTTCCAGAACATCTGAGGTTTGCCCAAAACTCGAGTTCTTTTAACCTGTTGAACCCCATCCCCCCACCCCCGCGCGGAAAAAAGCATCATCTGCAGGAAACAGCGTCTGAGGGTTTCTTAATATTTAATAAACTATGAATGTTTTATATCCATGTAACGGGAAGAAACTCAGCTAACTGATCTTTTTTTTTCTTTTTTTTTTAAAACCCACAAAGGCTAGGCGCTGAGGCCTCTGAATTAGCCATGAGCGAAAAAATGCTAACGGTGGCTTGCACAGAAAACACGGTATAACACCGTTATTACTTATCGTAACTGCAAATCCAACCCATCGACTAGCATCGTGACAAGACACATAATCTATCGGTATCTAGATCTTTACTCCATGATAAGAACTCGCGACTCTATAAACAAAAATAGACATCACAACACGTGGCGCTAGGTAGCAACAACGGCAATATCTCTTACCTTCGTTGTTGTCTGGTCAAAAGTGGTCTTCAATGGGATTAAAACGATAAAAACGCTGCTGAAGGTTAATCCATAGGTTAATCCAATGTGTCACTTTGAAATGATTTCTGAAAATCCATAAGCAATAAAACTACTTTTCCGTTTCCAGATTTCAAAGCGTGAGATAGGCTTCGCTCTGGGCAAAACTGCATGCGCGTAGCCCGCACTTTTTTTTTTTTGTAACGTTGGTTTTGTTGTCGTTCTAGTTGGAGCTTTTCTTGAGGGATGAATTTTTCAAAAATACCGTGACTGGCATTCGGTTCATCTCCTCGTGTTATAATGTACCCATTGTCGTCACTGATGTTCTTAGTACTAACTAATTTCCGAGCATTTCCACAATGACGTCTTTAGAACAGCCTCAATTTGTTGTCTGGAATGACACATCATATAGATTTAAATGTATTCAAGCCAACAGAGAACTATTTTTACCCCGCTGTTTATGAGTGCTTTCTCTGCCTTCATGATGCATCAAATGACGCAACATGACTATTGTGTGTTGCACTTAACCCTCCTCGTTAACTAGTTGTTTCGTTGTTGGTTTGGTCTGTACTTCAGAAAAGGTTGCCATTCTTCCGTTCCCTTTCCTGTCTTTTCTCCACAGATGCACAACACACACAGTGTATTTTATATAATAAACAATAAATGCATATATATATATATATATATCAGATGTAAGTAGTAGTGAATTAATTTGTATTAAGATGAGAAAAGAAAGTAAAAAGGCTTTGCAAAGTATCAGAATATTTGAACTGCAAACTTTTGATGTGAGAGAGAGAGTGTGTGTGTGTCTGTGTGAGAGAGAGAGAGTGTATGTGTGTCTGTGTGTGAGAGAGTGAGTGTGTGTGTGTGGCACACACAAACTCACTCTCTCTCACACACAGACACACACACTCTCTCTCTCTCTCTCACACA